GTCAATAATGTACAGGAAAGGGTATCGGCGAACAAGGGCCGTCGGCAACGAGACCTTTATGTTCTCATTTAAACTTCATGAGCTTTCATTATCGGCAAGAGAGTATGGGAGCGGGAGAGAGTACAGTATGTATGGGGGTAGGCCCTCCCCTCCCCTCCTCCCCCAACCCCAACAGCGGAAGGGTTGATGCGTTGCAGCCAGCGCGCGGCCGGGCGCCGCCGGGCCCTGCGAGTAAAATCTGTCGAGCAAACACAGGGCAATCAAGTAAATAAATCGGCTATCGAGAGGTGCTTTTTCTTCGTTCCGAAGCCGGGTCGCCTCCCCGGCCGACGCTCCCCGCCCCGCCAGCCCCGTCCCGCCCCCGCTCGTTCGCTCCCGTTCCTTCAAGTTGCCGTCGTCGCGTCCCAGTCGACCGAACAAACACTCGCTCAGCCCGGAGGCCCGGAAGGAGCGGTGGGGGTGGGACGGAGCGGGGGGGCTGCGGACTCACAGCAACCACAAGGAGAGGGAAGGGGGAAAGAGGAAGGGGAAAGGAGAGAGGGAGGGAGAGAGAGAGTGAGAAGGGAGAAGCCGGTCCGAGGAGTGGGCCACATTTCAGCGGACCAACATGACAACCGTCAAAACTCTTTGCTCTCGACATCCGGACTGCCCAACTCTCTCCCTCTTCTCTCTCAGCAGGGGGCCGCGACACGCCACGCCCCTCGTCGAAATAATCCAGCATCCAGAGCCCCTCGCAGATACACGCTCACAAATCAATCCCACTCTGCAGCTCTCGCGCGGACGGACGGAGGAAAAGTTTGCCAATCATGAAAAGCATGAAAGGTTTTCTGGCTTTTCTGCTGCCTGGATGGCTAACAACTCGAAAAAACTTTTGCCGGTGGGAAACGGGAGGGCAATACTACATGTATGTGCTAAACAAACAAGAAGAGCAAAGAGGGGGGAAAACACGATTTTTCGGATGTAACTTTTCTCTTGACTCTCATATCGATGACAGAGTATTGTCCCGTCAATGGATGGAAAAGACATCCAGTACCGCGACCCTATCGTCTGCTGACCCACCGCCCGATTACTTCTTCCTGTGAAAAAATTAATTCCGTTCCGTTCTATTGGTTCTGATAAATTTGCATTACCATCTGCAAGAAAAAATATGACTTCTCTTCTAATACACTCATACACGCTCATACACCATCACCATCGTGATATTATTAACTGTAGTTGGTATATCAAATACTCACCCTCAGCCGTCTGCAGGCCGATCACCTCGCTGTACTCGCCCTCGCCCGAGGAGTTGAAGGCCTTGACGCGAGCGTTGTACATCGAGTTGAAGTGGAGCCCGTCTACGGTGCAGATGGTCTCCTTCCCGCAGTACACGTCCTACAATTTCAAAAACAACAACAAACAAACGTGGTTAAATTCTCGCTATTAAAAAAAAAAAGAATCTTTGCGGCCGTGGATTCAGCTTAGTGTACCGATGCAGGCAAGCGGGCGGGCTTCGCTGGCCACGGCGTCTTACGGGGCCCGAGTGACGAGGCAACCCGCCCGCACGTCTGCATGCGGTACAGTCCAACTACAAAAGCGCCGCACCTGATGGTATATTTCTATGTAGATTTCTTTGAAGGGTTGGGGGCCATAACGGAACCCCCTTTAGTCCCGACTTCCACCGCCGCGATCCCCCGCACAGCCCAGCTCGTGCAACTCGCTGGCAACAAGTGATTTGTGCCCCTAACTGCCGCAGAGATGCACTGCCGACACGGCCTGGGACCAACCCCCCCTAATGCAAATGGGAAGAAAAGGGTCTGCGGGGGGAGCGGGGAGGAGAGGGGGTAAAGGGAAGGGGCATTAGAGCTCCAATGACTACAACAAACCAGCAGAGGCCTTTGCTTGAGAATTACTGGTGAGGAGAGAGAGAGAGCAAGACGAGGGAGAGGGAGAGAGGGGGGAGGGGCAGCGTAAAATGAGCGATACATTTTAGATTAGTGCGACATAACACGATTGCGAGAGGGGGCGAGCGCACAAGCTGTGGCGCTGCCGAGAGGGGCGCGGGCGCCATCTTTGGTCCGCTTTTAAAGCGCGCGACTGGAGAGCGTCCAATGACGGCGGGAAACCGTACACCAAGCGCACAAAGACGCGCCCGCCACGGCCTGTAAGCCGCTGCTGACTTGGCTCCCGGCTAATCCTCGGACGCCTTTACAGAGGTTCAGGATGACGCCAGGCTCGGCCTGTAAGGCGTCCTCCTCTTCAAGGCGACGGCGGCGCACGGCGTCCTTCCTGACCTGGAGAGCCTGATCCTCGCGGGGCCTTCGAGAGCGCTTCATTACGGCCGGCTTGTGACTCCTGAAGGCCCGAAGGCCGGCCGGCGGGCGGCGGTGGTGGTGCGTGGGGGGCTGGAGAGCGCTGGAGAGCGCTTGGAGAGGCGGCCGCTACCGCAGCGCTCGTGCTCAGTCGAGCGTTTCTAACTCTAACCAACCCAGAGAGCCTCCCTTCCCCTCCCCTGCCATCGCTTTGACCTGCTTCCCTCCCCGGCGATGGTGGTCAGCCGAGCCGACTGCTGCTAGCCGCTCCAAACTCACCCTGAAGTCGCCGCCGTGGCCGTCGTCCAGCTCCAGGACGTAGCCCTGCACGCACGAGGTGACGGGCGGCTGCCACGCCACCGTCACCGAGTTGTTCTCGGCCGAGCACTCCTCCGGGATGACGGTGGGCGCGCCGGGCGCTGCAACAGACGGGGGTAGGTCAGCGAGGGGCAACAACAGACAACGCCGCCACAGCGCGCTCACATGTACAAGCAAGCAAAATCATAAAATGAATACATGGAATACATCCTTTTAAAAAACACTTTAACAGTGAAACAAATATTAAAAATTCATAGCAATAAAAAATGAAGACGCCCTGCTGGCAAACAGGGGGCTCTCACTACTTATTCCACACAAATAAATAATGTACGATACGCTCAACTAAAAAGCATACCAAAGACGAGATGTGAAAGACGGAAGTTACCTGCCGGTCTCCTTTCCTCTCCGTCTTTGGCGGCTGGAGGGTTTAGCAGCACAAAGAGACAAACAATCGATTACTACCAGGGGCTCTGCAGGGGCAGGGGGCGGGGCGGGCACTGCGGTCTGTCGTCCAGGCGTCAATAATGTACAGGAAAGGGTATCGGCGAACAAGGGCCGTCGGCAACGAGACCTTTATGTTCTCATTTAAACTTCATGAGCTTTCATTATCGG